TTATAAGAATCATAGGATTGAATAGTATTGGCAGATCAAACCACACACCCAAACATACATAAGGCATTTAAACAAAACCTTTCTTCATATACATATCCATACAAACACACTTGCAAAAGTCCACCCGCAACTTCGTAAAATCTAAATACACACCATAAACATAATATATATACCAATTAAATAAGAAAGTTGAAAGAGATCATATGATTGTTCACACACGAAAATACATATATATTTGAAGTTAGAAACAATAAATCAAATCCATTCTTACAAGTGTGAATCAATCCGGAGATCACTATGTCTCCTTTGGATAATTGGTATGCTTTGGACAAACAAAATACTTACGATCACTAGGCTGACCACAAAAATAAAAAACCTATTGAATTAAGAACAAACAATGAACATGATCCAACAAAATAACAATTTGTTTCCTACTAGCTAAGAAGATCCCTCAAGAACAGATTTATCTTCCGGTGCATCAATACAGGTTCGTGGGGTTCTTCGACGCAATACTTGGGGTCCAAGAAAAAGGCGTCTTCTCTCCTCGCATGTTATGCTTTTTTTTTTTTTTTTTCCTAATCGGATGAGTGGACCCATAAATCAGTCACCATCAACCAATTAAATTTTACTTTGATCTAATTTGTATGCTTCTATGGGACAAACAACACAAGTCTTTGTTCCCGAAAGCCAACATCGATCTGTCCACTCAGATGAATGAAGAAATTTGATAGCCCGAATCCTCTCAATATCCTGATCTCATGACGCTTCCCTTATCTTCTCATCGCTCCTACTGAAAAAGCCAAAACAAACAATCAAACAAATCAACACCTATTTCGCCACCATTGCATCCATAGTCCAACTGAAACAAACAAGCAAATCAACTAAAAATGAGGAAACTCAAAATTAACACAATATTTAAATGCACTCGAATCTGAACCTCAGAAAAAGTCTTTATCACATGATAAACCCTATTTTGAACAAGAACGATAGCCCCGCCGCCGAGTGAGAAGGTGTACAATAACCCTAATCTGAAAATGGAGGATTTTTATACTACTAATGGATGGTTCTAGAAGGCTTGTGTATATATGTCTTCTTATTTAATTATATTTTAAATCATTCTAAAATTTTCTACAATTTTTTAAATAGTTTTTCGGTATGGCGCACTCACATTTTTTTCCTTGTGCTCACCATTTTGATATTATTAAGTGGATTGTTCCCGTAGGGTTGTATTTATATATATATAGATAAATATTATTTATTTATATTTTAAATTTATTTTAGGTTTTTCTATAATTTTTTATATAAAGGCTAATCTTTTACAATTTAATATACTTACTGTATATTTATTTATAAAATACATTCTTTATGAAATTTTTTACAAGAAATTGTTTACTCAAAACTCTGTGCAGAGGAGTATACAATAAAACTATAGAGATGAAAGACAAAAATAGAAAATAGGAATTTTAAATCAAAGGTTTTTTAAAATGAAAAGTTGTTTTTCCGGTTCTCTTTGAAAGGAAACATATTTTCAAACACAAAAAAAAATACGAGAAATACATGCAGCTCAATCACTTACACTAACACTTTTCCGCCTCATCAACAATTCACCGATTTTTACTCCGTCAAGGACATTCTTCAATTATCCTTAATTTTTGTCTAATTAATTAGTGTTTAGAGTGGATTTTGTGCAGATTAGTAAAAAAAGAAGGACATTTTTTACGAAATTAATCTTACACGGACATAAATTGAAAGGACGGTCAAATATAAGACATAAATTGCGAATACCCCTTATAAAATAATGTCACGATAATAGGAATCAAAGCACATGTCACCTGCATCAAAATGATGTTGGCAACAAAGTAGAAATAATTGTAATAAGCATAGTAGACGAATAAAAGAAGAAAGTAGTACAAGATATGATTCATTTTAAGAAATACTTGACTGAACTATGTACGGATGTTGATTCATCCCAAAAGCCAACAAATGTTCACTAAGATAATGAAGAATATGTTGGACAAGGAGAGTGTATCATGTAAACTTTACATTTAACGCAAGGGGTTTCACACAATAAATAAAACACACAGGCTGTTTGTGTATTTTTACGAAAGCACAAGGGGTGTTATATAATTTACCCGCTCATCTTATGATTTTATTATCTAGCAAAACTGCACTCTCAATCTCAGTCTTTGTCGCAGGTACTCTTAAAGATTAGTGCCTTTTTTGCTTGCTGGTAGAAACATACATTTTGGTGACTAAGAATTGATGCATACGATTTCTTTTGGGTATCCTCCTGGGATGTTGGGTGGCTGATTCTTCTTCTGTTGTTGCGCCATGGTTTTCACTTAAATGAGGTTCTGCCTCCACCACTATGACTTTTTGGCCTATCATTTGTCACTTGGTTATTTTCTTTCTTCTCAGTATTCTTCACTTGAGGAGTTGCAGATTAAAGTCAGATTGGGGAGGATCAACCACCATAGCAGGCTCTGGAAGCAAAATGAAGACTATGAATAAGTTCATCAGCCACATAAGATGTTAAAAGGATAAACAAATTCAATTCAGCTTGTGCCACTGTGCTTGATCAACACACACGGAAGTAAATAAAAAAATGAGGATGTCTAATTTGCACAGAGAGCTCATGAATCATTTTTCTCATGAGAATATATTTGAATTTAGAAATAATTCAAATATGTAATTAATAGCAAATTACTCTTAACTTGCATGTGTCAATCAATTCGAAGAACAATATATATATGCCCTCTTGCATAATTGATGTGCTCTGCATCGGAAAACCCCATTACCATCTGGTTCAGACACATAAAATAAATTATTAACAATATTCTAAAATAAAACATATGAAAAAGCACAATTTACGGCAATAAATAAATCACAGACCCTACATTGCCCGATTGTGTTTGCCATCTTGCTCTTTGCCGAATAGCCCAGAGACATGCATTGGCGCATCCTATCGGGAGTCATTCTGCAACCATTATCTACGTATATGCGCAAAATAAGATCGAATTAGAGCAACAAGTTCTACGAAGAAACTTAAGTTGTGTATTGTTACACAGCTAGATCAAACATATTAACGAACAACATCATCAAGACTACTCTAAGGTTCTACTCGCAAAAAAATGTTCAACCAAAAAATATTCTCTGTTCATCAAGCAAATTTTTTTTTCAAACTCTATAGTATGCAATCCAGAAACTCTCCAAGAAAAATACACTATACCCCCTCTCACAATCATCACATCAAGCTACTATGCAATGACAAAATTTAAACACATCTTCATATATACACAAACCTTGAACTGCCACCATTTTGTGGCTATTAGTACTGTTCTCAAGCACATCAATGCTCACATATGTTGCTCCATTGCAAACCTGATTAAAAAATACATATGATCATGATCGAGTAATAGATGAAAAAACGGGCTTTTCGAGATATATAAGGGCATCAAAGGTACCTCATCTAGAGCATTATCGAGAAGCTGTGACTGAGTTTGGGGTGTGGTCGGGAGCTCCAGAAGCTGCTCAGGGCTCATTGCCGAGGTCCGGAAGGCTAGAATGTGAGGCACTGGTCTGATACTCACACAGCTGTTGTCTATCCAATCTTGGAAAATCTTGATGTTCTTTCCTTTCTACCAACATAAACTTTTTCTCACCTGTGGAGAAGTTAGATTCATGAATCAGTTGATAAAAATTAGCGGATCTGAAAAGGCCAAATTATTGTATGTGTTCGATTAATGTACCGGGGAAGTAGAGCTGAAGTTTATTCGCAGAATCCCTACAGTTGGCATAGGTTTTCTTGTTGATGGTGGAGTTTGATAAGCACAGGATCCATTGAGTACTGTACGATTGATAGATGCATCATAGTTTTTCGTCACAATAAAGATAATGGCTTAAATCCTTAATCACTTTTACAAAATCTACCTCAGAGCAGTATTTGATTCATCATATGCAAAACCAGCACCTATCTCACCACCATTGCATCCATTGTCCAACAATCGATTCTCAAACCTTAGCCAGATCTTCTCAGTTGTCTTATGTTCCGGATTGTGGTGAAAAGATCTCATTTATTCTTTCTCATCTCATCTCTCGTATCTTCCATTGAAGCAACCGAAACAAATAAACAAAAATGGCAAATCATCTAAAAAAAGAAAAAAACAAAAAAGAAAAAAAACAATTAGAATAAAAAATAGCTATTAACTTCACACGAATTAGAAAAAACCCTTATCACATCATAAACCGTAATCTGAACATGAACAATAGTGTCACCGCCACGCCAATGAAATCATACAATAACCCTAGTACCACACTAGAATATTTATATAATATTAAGTTGGATCCTTCTAGAAGGGATTCAATATATTTTTATATATTTGTTGATGTAATTTTTCAACAAAAATAAAGTAAAATTCAAAGATATAGAAAATATCCTTAAACTTGATTAATTAGTGCCTGAGATTAGGAATCTCTAAACACTGTATGGTACAGAAAATAAAATGGAAAATAAAAGACTGAAATTTAAAGTAGTGATCCCCAAATCTGACTTTGCTTTGTTGAAGTTGATTGAAGATGCCTTGCCAAATGATTATCCAAGCCTTTAAATATTCTCTGGGAAACCGTACCGAAAACCGTCACCCGAACGGTTACAACGTCTCCTTCCCAACCGTCTTCCAACCCTTCTCCTGCTGACACGCGTCCTCAGCAGACCAAAATTATCCCTATATTTCACTCTTTGAGCCGACCACAGACCTTCCGCCCTTTAGGCCCGACTGCCAATCTACAATAGTATGGGTCCGACTGCCAATCCTCCCGACTTGCAAACCATCTGACTTGCTGGTTCTGCCGCAGAATTCCGACCTGAGAACTTCCCGACCTGAGGGCCTTCCGTCTTGATGACCTCCCGACCTGGAAACCTTCCGACTTGAGGTCTTTCCGTCTTGAGGACTTCCTGACCTGAAAACCTTCCGACTTGAGGTCTTTCCGACTTGAGGACCTCCCGACCTGAAAACCTTCCGACTTGAGGTCTTTCCGTCTTGAGGACCTCCCGACCTGAAAACCTTCCGACTTGAGGTCTTTCCGTCTTGAGGACCTCCCGACCTGAAAACCTTCCGACTTGAGGTCTTTCCGACTTGAGGACCTCCCGACCTGAAAACCTTCCGACTTGAGGTCTTTCCGTCTTGAGGACCTCCCGACCTGAAAACCTTCCGACTTGAGGTCTTTCCGTCTTGAGGACCTCCCGACCTGAAAACCTTCCGACTTGAGGTCTTTCCGTCTTGAGGACCTCCCGACCTGAAAACCTTCCGACTTGAGGTCTTTCCGTCTTGAGGACCTTCCGACCTGAAGTCTTTCCGTCTTGAGGACCTACCGTCCTGAGGACTTACCGACCTGAGGTCCTTCCGTCTTGAGGACCTACCGTCCTGAGGACTTACCGACCTGAGGTCCTTCCGTCCTGAGGACCTTCCGTCTTGTATTTTCCTTAGAAATAAATCTATTTTCCTTGATTTCCTCACGGTGTCCTTCAGCCAGTTCAATCAACTCTATTGCCAGACCCATTCTTCTTTTTACCTTGGGCTTTTAACCTAATTCTAAATTTCGTACGTAACAACTTGCCCGCCGCCAAGGGACTTTCAAACGCCATTTAACAATCAATGTTTGGAAGTTCATAAATCACCACCCTCTTGAAAAACTCCCTTAGCAACTGCACCAGTTACTGCAACACTCCAGATTAACTTCCTTCTCTGCAATACGAGCTTTTGTGAATCACAATCCCAAAACACTCTAACCATGGCGAATCAATACATTCCTGCCCTTCCTTTCGACGGAACCCTCCCGGAGGGCCCATTTTCAGCCTCGAAAGTACTAACTCCGACGATCCGCCCATATTGCACTACTCCTGAAGACTCAAATCGAATGAGGGAAGTTTTGGAATCCCGAAATTCCCTGGCTATCAACAATCCTAACTACCAAGCAGTTCGCATTCGAGATAGCATCAAAACCCATCTCACAGACCCAAAAGATCCTTACCGCGCTTGGTATCGACGGGTAGCGGAACACTTCCAGGCCCAATGGCGATCTCAAAAAATCGACCAAGCAATACTATTGTCCACCATGCCTATCAACCTGCATGAGAAGGTGCTCTTGGCCATGTCTGCCTTCTGGAATGCGGAAAATGGGACTTTCCTCCTACCCTCTGGCCCCTTTGGTCCAACTCTTATGGACGTGGCAATGATCGCGCATCTCCCAGTTGTGGGTGAAGACCCTGTAATGGGAGCCCTAGATGGGCAGGAGCCATCAGAAGACCATCCAGGATGGTCTTTACAAGGTGTGAAGGAATGGGGTTGGACAAAGTTCGCAACCGACCAGCAAGGGGCTCCAGGGACCCCTGTGACCGACCGGGAGCATACTGCCTTTATCCTTTTTTGGCTTTGCAGGTACATCATTGTTTCCCCTTCCAAATGTGTTCTTCCTTCTCATCTCGACCTGGCCATTCATATCGCGTCAGGTCGGTTCTTTTCCCTTGGCACCCTGTTTTTAGCCAATCTGTTTGAAGGACTTACTAGAGTTAGCCTTCGTCTAACAGATAATGATAGTAGAAAATTAGACACTGCTGCATCGGGTCCTTTTTGGTTTTTAGAACTCTGGTTCCGTCTTTACTTCCCTAACGCGTTCAACTTAGGATCTCCGCCCACTATGCCAACCTCCGAAAAACATTTGGGATTAGCCCTCAACCGACTCTGTTCAGGACGCAATAAACTCCAATCTTCCGATCCAATAATAACCGCAATAGTAACGGATACCCGCAGTAACTCTCGATTTTCTATGTATAAAAAATATGCGGGTTATGCTCCCGACCATTTTTGGCCCTTTCCGGCACCAAATCCTCTTCCGACTCCTGAACCTTGTCCTCATCCCACCTATTCTTTTGCCTGGGACGTTGCCCTCAAGCCCAGGTCTCTTTTTAGCAGCAAAAAACTTGATAAAAAAGGGCAGAAAACTTTTTGCACCTTTAATTATGAACCTCAATTCATGGCGCGCCAGTTCGGCTGTTGCCAAGGTATCCCTGGACCCGTCGCTTGTCCTCATATAATTTTTCAAAGTCCCGACCGACGAGTCCTACCAAATTCAATCCCTTCTTATATCTCCCAGCTCACCACGTATATAATTTCCAATTCGTATATTCCTTTCCGCTCCAACCCTGAGACTGTAGATACTTTCAATGAATGGTGGTCGGTTGTATGGCCCCTGATTTCCCCTGATGAGGGTCGGTTGCTGAACATACTCCTTCCACCCCAAGGATTGGTTCTAGGGGCGGCTAGACATACTAGCACTCAACAACAAACAGCCGCCCCGGGAATCGGATCTAGTGTTCCGATGCGAAAAAGGAAAGCTTCCCAGCTACAAACACCCCCGACCTCTGGGACCGACCAGCAAGCTCCAGCGGACCTTGGAACTACTAAAACATCAGCAAGGATCCGACCCCGAATAGGTAATTTTTCTTAAAACCGTGAACCAATTCGCTATATCTTAACTTTGATTTCACATATCATTCACCAGAACCGACCTTGGCAGCACCGACCACACAACCGACGCCAGCCCCAGCCGACCAACCTTTGGTCCCGACTGAGGCAGTTCCTCTCCAAACCCCTACTCCACTTCTCACTTTGCCAATGAGCAGTCGGGCGGAGGACCCGACAAGGAGGCAAACTCTTCCTCCTGCACCGAGGAGCGGTCGGGCCAGGCACCCGACCAGGAGGCAATCTTTACCAGCAGCGCCTATAGAACCTGTAAGTTCTCTCATCGGCAATACTTAGGATTCTAATGATCATCTTTGAGATATCTAACAACAACATTTCCATGATTTTTCACAGACACCTTCACCCATCGAATCAGCAGCAGGGGTCTCTTCGGACAGTGAGGGGACAACTTCCCAGATGGGTCAACCGCCATACATGGCATCAGACTCATCCATTTCGAAGGAAGGACCAACTGCCCTCGCCGAAGCTAACCCTCAAAACGACATCCTTGATGTTGCTGATCCCGAACTCGAAGGTGCCCCAGAGATCCCGACTGCAGTGGCTCTAGATGCAGCCGCCCAACCAGCAGCGGCGCTCCCTCTAGCCATCGAGTGGCAGGCAGAAGAACCACCTGCGGCAGCCCAAACTCCAGAAATAGAAGAAATGTCTTCGTCCGAATCGGAGACTTCTGTGAATTTGGTAAGATTAAACCAATCCATGCTACAATGTTTCTTTCAGAAAACACTAACTGTTTCATATACCACTTTCCATAGGGACCCAGGTCGGCACCTCAGCGACCATTCGCAGCAGCCGACGAGTCGGCTGCTATTATACCAGCTGTCTGCCCTACTCGACCGACCTCATTGCTGCCCCCCTCACTGACAGCAGTCCGCCCAGAGGTAACACATATCTTATCTGAACAAAGTTGCACCTCCCTTGGAATACTTATTGACATTGTAGGACTTACAGGGGCCTTCGGACTTAGCTGTCCTATCGACTGTTCCGGTTCCGGCGGAGGCCCAAACTATATTCACTGAGGCCATTAACCATCCCCTGTCAGAATTAAGGTCCGACTTATTGGACAAACTCATTCAGACGGTTGGTGGCCTTCTTTTTTACACTCCAACGGAATCACCAGCCGTCCCCATTCTGCATCGGCTGATGGAAAGACTTACAGAGCTCAAGACTGAAGTGTTAGTCATTGGACTCCTGTCAGCCGAAACCCCCCAGCCCGACTTCGATCAAACAACGCTGGAGAATTCTTTGGCTAAGACCCGAGAATCCCTTCAGCAGACTACTGGAAGGCTGGGTGGTCTCCTTAGCACGAAAGCTCAAGTTGATGAAGCTATTCAGAAAAAGGAGGCAGAATTGCGGGAGCTAAGGAAAGAACAATCTACCCTGGATAAGCAAATTACCAATGAGCAGCGTCTGCTTGAGAAATATACCAAGAATGAGGCTGAATTGGATCAAGAGCTGAAAACCCAAGCCCGATCCCAATTCATCATAAGATATCAGACGGCTGCCAATACCAGAAGGCTATCCAGGGACGAAATCAAATGGACCCATATAAAAACTGCCCTAGGGGCACTGTTGTAATACTTCCCCTTCTGTAACAACATGTGACTTAGTAATATATTTTTCTTTCTTCTCTCAAAACAAGGATCACCTTTCAATTTCCAACTTTGTAGGAATCGAGACAAACTCCTTCTTTAAAAGAACACTGTTTCTCACATTTTAAGAAACACATTCCAAGGCATATTTTAAAAATCAAAACACTTGAAACGTTAACAAACATGGCGAATGACCGACCTCATGTTCCATCAAGCAACTGGCAGGGTGTTCTTCAACCCTTCTTTGTGGGTAATCACCCTATTGGAGGCCATGCAGAAGACTTGTTACATGTACTCAAGCAACTAGACTTCAAATTCCGATTCTCCCAACGAGGTAGAAGAACTATTCATCGCGTCATCCGCCTGATGGAAAAAATCATTGAGGGGTATGAACCTCTTCGTGACATCCTTAGCCGCATTCCTGATCTCCATCATCACATGGAAATGATTGAAAACCACGCAGCAACCATACTTCCAGATCTTGGTTGGGATAATATCTTTTCCAATCAACGAAAAGTCTTTTCAAGATTGCGTACCATTGTTGACCGTGAATATCAAGCCATAACAGACATGCAAGCACGTACCAATCAAGACTTAGACGAAATGCAAAGCCAATGGGAGAGGTACCGACCAGACTTGGAAGATCTTATTGAAGAAGAACCAGAACTAATATCCACTCACTGGGATGAAAAGTCTGATTCAGAAGCAGAAAATTTCTCACAAATACATGATGACTAACAGAAATGAACCTTTAAATAGGTTCGAACCCCATAAATGGGTTCTGAATAATATTTTGTTTCAGGCAGTTTTGTTATCTGAAAAGGCAGGATAATACCTCTTCAGATATTTAGCATTAATACAATCATGTACTCTTCTACCTTCATGATTTACAATAATGAAAGCGCCATTCCCAATATCTTTTTGAACAATGTATGGTCCTTCCCAATTCGGTGACCACTTTCCCAATTGGTCAGTTTTCTTATATGTAGGAAGGATGGTCTTCCAAACTAGGTCTCCTTTTTGAAATGTCCTGTGAAGAACTTTCTTTCCGTAAGTCCTTGCTCTGATTTCACTCTGTTTCACACTTCGACCTATTGCATGAAGTCGGTTAACATCCAAATCCTCCAACTGTTGCAACATAAGTTGTTGGTATTCTTTTGTAAGATCACTATCAGTAAACTCTGTTCGGCCAGATGATACTCGAA